GCTGTAGGAACTTAAGATGGAAGAAAAGTAAACTGACATATTTTAAGGATATTTCATATTATATTAAAAACTGTATAATGAACCCAAACAGTTCTTTTAGCTCTTAAATAATCATATAAACTTTAAAAAATAACAGTTTCATTTAGTTTTTTTCACAGAAATGAATAAAAATGCTGAGTTAAAGGCTCTATATAGATATAGATAGAGAGATAGGATTCTCTGTATATTTTCTCACAACCCTTAAAATCAAGAAGACCTTGTGAGCCTGACTTTGGGTCCTGAACCCCCAGGTCGTCTTGCAGAAGAAAACACTGAGTTTGTCAAAAAAGAAGCCTATTAAGTCTGTATGATTGTTTAACGTTATTAAAAAATACATAAAACAGACACAACATTGTATAAAAAGTTCCCCAAACAGTAAATAATCTGCTCAGAAATCACCCAAATCTCTGGGTTTAAACAAACTTCCTGCAGTTATTGTGTTCATATTGTGTGAATACAATAAGAAATATCCTTAAAATCTGTCACTGAGTCGGTTTATTAATGATAGAAAAGAGGTCTTTTAAGGAGAAAGGTTGGGAACCAGTGTTATTATACACATCTGGAGAAGATCTTTAATGCTTAAGAACAGAAATAATTGATTGAGGCTTTTATTTTGGTGATTCCTTTGTTTGCAGTGTAAATCTGAGCTTCCTGGTTAGTTTGAATAATAATATTTTCTCCAGCCGACCCACAGCTCATCTACAACCACTGCAGCACCCGCAGCTGTAAATTCAATATGATCTGTTAGAAAAAACAACTTAAGTGTGTTATTGCAGCAGCAGCAGCTCGGAGCTCCCAGCAGGCCTGAATGCCGCTGCTGCCTTCACGGGCCCCCCCCCGACACTCAGAGGGACGGGGATGGCTGGAGGATGCTGATCCAGTCTGCTGACGGTACACACACATTTTCAGTCACATCTGGACCTCACTGACAGCTCAGAGTCTCCGGGTTTTCCTTCTGGTGCTAAACAGACGCACAGGCTGCGGAATCTGCGGGATCTGCGGCGGCGCTGCAGCCTCACGCCAGATCCCTTTTATTCTAATGAGGATAAATAAACAAAAGCAGCAACAATGCGCATGAAAATGTGTCTCAATTAGAGTGTGGTTACCGTGTTTCCGCGGGGGGGTTTCTGCGCTGTCCGAGCAGTAACGCAGCTCCGGCGCATTCTCCGGGGAAAGTGCGGCTCCAGCAGAAAGAGCCACCGGGCTGACAACAATAGCCTCCCTCCGTCAATCCATAGGTTAGCATCAGACACACACTGTACACACACACACGCACACACACACAGTGCAGAGGACGCAGAGGAGCTCCTGGTCCAGGATCCGAGCAGCAGCGGCGGAGGCGCACTGAGCAGGCGCCGCAGCGTGGCACCAGTCAGCCGAGTGTGAGCTGTAAGATCCGGCCTTAAAGACACAGAACCTTCCCCTTTATCTCCCCCTCTCCCTCCCTCCCTCTCTCTCACTCTCTCTCCCTCTCTCTCCCCCTCTCTCACTGGCTCATCGGGGCTCTCTCCTGCCGCCATCTGCTGGACGGACGCGGTACTGCAGAGACCTCAAAGTGCTGCTGGAAGAACTTCAGACTCTTATTTCATGTAAAATGTAAATATTTCCGGGGATCAAACAGGGATTTAATTATTGTTATATTAATATCAGGGTTCCCAACGCGCCCTGGACATTTAGAGACTAGTTTTCCAGTCATGGAAACACCTGGAAACGGATTAAAATGAACAAATATTGTGGAAATCCAGTTAGAGTGACACAAATGTGCTCAACCTCATGAATTAAACTAAAAAATGAACAGTTGAAGTAATAACTGGTTTTAGTGAACTTTAGTGAACAGTATTTTTAAATATTGGTGATATAAATTCAATTTGTTTCATTAAATGATCACATTCCTGCAAACTGTACATTTATTTAAATAAAGGTTATATTACAAATATTGTCTCTGTTTTTATATGTATTTATATTTCTCTCTGTTTATTGTAATGCAACAATTTATCAAGACGAAGATCCACAGAAAATTAATTGGCTACCAATTTGATCATCTATTAATTTTTATTATATAACGTCAGCTGTTTCGACAGGTAATATAATAATTTACTTTAGTGGAAGAAAACTGAGTAAATTCAATTTAAGTGGTAACATTTGTATAAAGAAAATTCATTTAATTTCAATAAGTTTGGAGAAATGCTGCATATGACTTTGAATTGAATTGAATTAATTAAATTAGCATAACATTAACTATTAAAATGAGTTAATTAAACAGTTTAATCAGTTTCCTTAAACAGGTGCAGTTGAACTAACTCATTGATTTGTGAATAAGGGCTGTTCTGTATAAAACTGATAATGTCATTGATATGATTTTAATATTAAGACTTTATAATCCTGAAACCTAAAAATAAAAAGTAATACTCAGAGATTCCTTAAAACAACACAGAATAATAAACAAGCCAAAGAATAAACAAGCCGAGAAAACATGCAATAAAAACTCAAATTAATCAATTAGTCTAAATTTAGTCTTTAAAAATATAATAAAAATCCCATTGAAGTCAATGCAGGAAATCGACCCCACAGACCAGAGTCAATCTTGGAATAATAGTGCCAATAATAACTATATTATATATT